AAACGCCGGGGAGCACCGGCCTCCGCCAAGGGCGGCGAGGCTGCGCCCAGGCTGCGCGGTTCCTGCGGAAAGACGACGTGGTGGGAAGGAAAAGTCGTCATCATCTGTCAGGCCAGGGACCCCCAACCCGGGTGGCTCCATGGACCTCAAATATCCCCAGATGCTACCAAAGGCATATGATCCCTCAAATATCCTCAGACACCCCTAAGGCCAATGGAGAGCCCGAAGTATCTCCAGACACACTTAGGACCACCAAAGACCCCTAGATTCCCCACCCACAACTATTTCCTAGTGACTCAGAACTTGCCCAGCGGCTGCTGAAGACCAGGTTTCCTTATAGGAGTGGCGATGGTAGATATGACAGCTGTAGTTTCTTCTATATTAATGCTGTGGACAATGGGAACCTGTGCTTGCATTTTATAGTTTCCTATTGTCCACTTATTTTATCCAAAAGGTAGTGGACTGTTCTGCACCTTGCTTTTTAGAATCTATACCTACATCAGTACCTTAAGAGCATCCTTTCTCTCTCTCTCTCCCTTCCTTCTGCACTGAATCCCTTTGATATGGATGTCCAATAGTTTACTTAACCAGTCTTCAACAGATGTTTCTTTTGCTATTCTTATAAATAATATTGGAGTGAACAACCTTGTTCATATATCATTTGGTATGTGTGCAAGTCTATCTGTAAAATAAATTGCCCAATGACTAATTTTCAGTTCAGGCAGTTATGAAACAATTTCAATAAGTTCAAAGAAATAAAAGAGCGTATCAAAAATATGAGAAAGGGATGAAAGACCATTAAAACGATCATGAAGATCTGAAAAAGAAACCTCTAGAACACCTAGAAAAATATTTTAAATGAAATTAAAAATTAAATGGGCAAATTAAATGGCAGATTCAATACAGCAGAAGGAACTAATAGGATTAAACAGAGCTTGGAAACAGATCCACACATACTGACATATGCTATGACAGAGGAGACACTGCAGAGCAGTGGGGACAGGACCAACTCCTTCAATAAATCATGCAGGAACAAGTGATCCAAATTGGAAGATAATGGAAAGGAAAAGAGAACTAAATTTGACTACATTCAAGTTAAGAATTTCTTTTCATCCCAAGACACTGTAAAAAGAATGAAAAGTAAAACCAGAGTGAGAGAAGATACCTATAACACAAATAGTCAATAAAAGATTAGTGTCCGGGGGGAGGATATAGCTCAGTGGTAAAGAGCATGCTTAGCATGCACGAGGTCCTGGTTCCATCCCCAGCACCTCCATAATAAATAAATAAATAAACCTAACTACCTCCTCCCCCCCAAAAAACAAACAAAAAAGATTAGTGTCCAATATATACAGAATGTCTAAATAGCAGTAAGGGAAAACCAAACTAATACAAAAATGTGCAAAATTGATGATCAAGTATTTCACAAAAACAGAACCAAAACAGGTACTAAACATGAAAAATAATGAACCTCATTAGAAATCAAGAAAATGCAAGTTAGATACACTAGGCCAGTAAGATACACTATGCAAAATACGTCCAAAGACTGCCAAAATTTAAAAGTCTGATAATGTTGAATGCTGACATAGATGTAGGAAAAAAAACAACAAAACAGAAGCTCTCAGACACTGCTGCTGGGAATTCAAGTGCCAAAATAACTTTGAAGAACAATTTGGCAATGCCTAAGAAGATGCATACAGCCTAAGCCCCACTCCTGGGGTGTTACACCCCAGAGTAGCTTTTGCACATATACTACTGGACACAAATTCATGAAAAACTGCAGCAGCACTATTCATAAAAGTGAAGCGAGAGGGAAAAAAGAAAAAAAAAGCCTGGAAACAACCCAAATGTGGACTGATGTACTGAGAATGCATCTGTAAACCATGACATACTCATATGCTGGTGATACACTCATCAGACAAAATACTATGCAGCTATAAAAAGAAATGAATTACAGCCACATACTTCAGTGTGGATGAAACTCACAACCAATGTAGAGCGGAAAAGAAAAAAGAAAAAGAAAAAATCGCAGAATTCCACTGCAGACTGTCTGCGACTACCAGACACCCCGATGACTTCCTAGTGACCCCTAGTGACTACTAGGAGCCAGACGCCCAGTATGATTCCATTTCTGTGAGGAAAAACTAGAGAAGATATTGTTTAGAGATACATATGTGATAAGCTGCAAAAAAAAAAGGGGGGGGATAATGAACAGAAAATACAGGATAATGACTGAGGAGAGGGGCTGCCATGGAGAGGGGCACCCAGGGTCGTCTATTGGTCATGCTCAATTTTTTAAGCTGAGTTATGGGTACACATACGGGTTGATTATTTTATCATTATGCCTTACGTTGTACATACATGTTTAAATATATTATGTCATATGGATATTATTTAATTTTTTTAAAAAACCCATCCTTGACACAAACAGCCTTGAACTCTTCATTAGAGGAGGATATGCTCCAAATGCCCTTGACACCAACCACCCCTCAAACCCCAGGGAATCACACACATCAATCACAGCCTCACACACATTCATATGGACTGACAGGCCTTAAGATATCACATATGCAACCCAACACTGCCACATTCACACTCAAGGACCTGCACATGTTCACGCATAGGGCCGCTCATGCAGTTACAATCGTCAAGCTATCCAGACGCAAGAGCACGCACCACCCTTAAAGACATAATGCAGCAGAGAGAGACATCATGGCTCCTCTCCCCAGAATGACACAGCTCCACAAAGAAACAGGGAGGAACAGCCTCATGAACACACATACAAAATCCTAGTCCCTCAGTTCAACAGAACCAAAATGGGATGCGCGCTCGGGGATGCAAAGACCACTCCCTCCTAGACAAAAACGAAATCACACAGACAGATACACACAGAAAGACACGCCCATAAGTCACGCCATCACCATAGGATTCACAAACACACGATGTCACTGAGAAAAGTCACACTCAGAAGCACGCCCAGCATCACACACTGCACACCCGGACCCACAATGGCATCTTTCTATGGACGCTTGGAAGCGCTTACATCAAAGGACACACACAGGGACACACAGCACACCCTCACGCCCCTGTCATCCCATCACGTGCGCACATACCGATAGCCACACTCCCTGCCTTAATGCGCCCTAGTCCCATGGACAGCGCCACAGACCGGGGCGGGGGGGGGGCGAGGCCCGGCCCAGCGCTGGGTGCCGAGGGATGGGCAGGGCGCGGCTGCCGGTCGAGCCCCTGACACTGCCACCCGCACACCCAAGAGCCTGGCATGGCCTGGACACGGACTGGCGGCTGGTCCTCGGGCCACCCTGGCCAATCTCTCCACACGTCCTAGGAGCTGAGGCCAGCGAGGATGAGCGGCCAGTGGCCGGGCACCGACCTTTGCGGGTAGCATCCTCCGCCCCACCCCCACCCAGCGCCTAACCCGAGTCGCACCTTTACCGGCCGAGCGCAGAGCGCGGGAGGTGGCCCAAGCCAGCCCAACAGCAGCAGGACCAAAAGGCCGGCGCCCCCGGCCCGC